CATTGTCATATCAAAATTCACGTCGGGTATAGAGTTAATCTTCTCGGTTGAGCAGAAAGAATGAAAGGAGATACAGACCTACGAGACAACTGCATAGATGAGATAAATTTCCCCGGATTGAAAGGTTCGACTGACAGGTAGTAGGAAGATTACACAACCATTCCCCTCTCGATTCTCCCGTAGTATCAGGGGCGCGCCTTTTTGAAAATTCAGCCTCTGGCAATTCAGTTTAAGTGAACAAAGCGACGATAAAATAGTGGCGATGTAGTCATGACGTCAGCCAAATATACTGATGCCTTTCTATCACTAGCAGTCACTCGTGGTCAGTAGTGTGTACTTTTTTCACGCTTGGTCAAGTGTGAACATTACCAGAAAATAAATAAGGCTCTCAAAAAACGCGCGTTCAGTAAGTAAATAAACCAGCTTTACTTCGCAATCGCTGGTTGGTTACATGTAGTTGAACTGAGTAACGCAAATGATGAACTTTTGTTAAGTTGCTTCTCAGTGTGTAATTGTAAGTAGCAGTTCCGTATTTTGGCGTTTTTTTTGTAAGAAAGATTGGTTTCATTTCGAGCGTTGCGAATTAATATTAATTATATCTTAAGTAATGTTTAAAAAAAGAGCAGCAGTGTTTTATCGGGTTTTAAAAAAAAAAAAAACATGAGGCGGAGCCGAGTGTTTTTAGATCCGATAAAGCACTTGCTGCAAGTTTTTGAACGGCTTCAAAAACCCTTGCCTCTCTAGAGGTTTAGATAAAAGTGAGAAAAACACGTGCTGCGAGTTTCTTGAACGGCTTCAAAAACTAATTCCTCTCTAAAGATTACGATAAAGGTGACAAGAATGCATTAAAGGTTAATTATATTCAGGTAGTAAAAGTGCTCCATGTTCGGCTGCTTTTAAAGTTTCAGAGAGCTTTTACATGAAATGCTGCATAAACGCGTGTTTCGAGAACCAAAAAGTGCCGAGGAAGAGAAGGAGTGCTTAGATAGTTGTATTCGAAAGTCTACGCGGCATGCCACAAAGTGGGCTTACAAAATGTTTGGCGTGTGGCAAAGTTCAAGAAGAAATAAAGACGCTAACTTTGGTTGACAAAGTTTGTCGCAGAGGTGTGTAGAAAGTATGGAGAGCGCTTTACTCCTAGAAGTTTGTATAGTATCTGCTGTGTATTGCAGCGTCATTTCGAAGACTCCAATGGAAGAGAAGCCATTAAAATTTTATGCTTTTGAAGATTTTTTTCATTAGAACGTTTATAGTCTTACTTGTAGAGGATTACTCACCATGATGTCCTCCCCATTTTTTCGGCGCATGGGACTGAAATCAGAGTCGTCAGGTCTAAAGAGTCATGCACGTGCTGTTTTGGCGATGTTTTGATAGGCTGTTAGCCTCATTTATTATTAACGAATTTTTGAAGCTATTAAATAATTTGAAAGTCCCTAAAACCATCGAACTGACTTGATGTCTTGTGCATCAAAATAAAAAGGTGAGTGGCTATCAAAGTGTTTTTTTTCCACATCATTGTGCGCGTTGCTCACTTGTAAAGATTTCAGCCTCGATTCTAAGCTGCGATCGGGCTGAGAAGAGATTCAAAACTGGCG